CTAGGAGCAGGGAAAGAACCATCCACGACCCCTGCCCCGAGCCCGAGCCCGCCGGTCCCCAAGAGCTGCCTGAAGCACAAGGGCTCTGCGGCGAGCGTGGTCCCCAGCGGGTCCCCAGAGCCCGCAGCCTCGGAGTCGCCTCCGGCCGCACCCAGTCCCTGCTCCCTGGACAGAGAGGCTGCTCTCCCGGGGCAACCCAAGGCTGAGCAGGCCGAGGCCCCGCAGTCCGGCCCTGGGAGGGCTGTGCCAGAGCGGAAATCGGAGAGAGGCAGCGGCGAGCTGCGGAACGTGAAGAAGTTCTCAGTGTCCTCGAGCAGGGCACGGCCGCGCCCCGGCAGCTCCCGCCTGCTGGAACAGGCCAGCCCCGCAGGCCCCTGCAGCATCCCCCTGCCTCTAGCAAGGAGCGGCCCAGCCTGGAAAAGCGAGGCGGCTCTCGATGACCTCCAGGCACTTAAAGAGCCTCAGGACAGGAAACTGGACTCCCAGAAACCCCCGTCACCAAAGTGCGAGTCTCGGGACCCCGGGGACAGAGCATCCAGCCAGACCGAGCCAGGCAGGAACTCCCTGGAGGTGGCGACTGCGCCAGGCATGAGTGATCCCTGCCTGGCTGCCCAGGAGCCACCGACCAGCGAGGACAAAAACCCCTTCCCGGTCAAGCTGCGGTCCACCTCTCTGTCCTACAAATACAGAGAGGGCTCTGCCTCGGAAGCCAAAGCAATCAAGAGGTACAGTGCCGAGATCAGGTTAGAAAGAGGCCTGACTTTGCTCCCCAAAGACGAGAAATGTCTCATCGGGCCGGCCCCTGCTCTTCGGAGTGCCAGGTCCTCCGCCGACCACGGGAAGGGGAAGGCCCGGTCTCCGGAGCAGGTGGGCTCCAAACCACCCCTGCCCAGGAAGCCGCTCCTGCAGAGCCTCACCCTTTCACACCCGCCATCGACCTTTGACTCCAGCCCAGGAGAGCCAGAGAAGGTCACCTCCTCTGTGGACCCCAGGAAGGAGAAAAAGACCCCACACAGGGGAGCTGGTAAGGGTTTGGTGGAGGCTGCTGGGAAGGGGCAGTTGGCATGCCCATGATCCTCCTTATCCACAAAGTGTGCAAACATCCTGGGTTCAAAGCTCGTTGTGGGGGGTTGGAAGAACAAGTAAGAATTCCTCTTAGCACCACTGACTTGGTTGATTCAGAGTTAGAAATAAATGGAACCACCATGCAGTACATCCCAAGTGGTTGACCAGGGTTCGAGTCTGGCACCTCTGTGCCTTGAAAAACCTGCTGGGTGCAGGTGAGCCCAGGATCCTGATGGGGTAGAGGGTTGGAGGAAGTATGGTAGCATGACCAGGACCCATTTGGGATGCTGTGTCTCTCTTTCTGGCAAGTGCATACACTCTTTGGCATTAAAGAGAGAGAGAGAGAGAGAGAGAGAGAGAGAGAGGACAACAGATGGCATGGTGGCCACCAATCCACCCACAGATGGCATGGTGGTTAAAGCGCCAGACTCCCACCTGGCCAACCACTGTTTGATTCCCTTACCTGGTAGCTTGAAAATCACACTGGGCACATGTGCATACATGCCCAAAATCCTAGGAGGAGAATGGAGGAAAAGGGATTACAGCATGGCCACCCTCCCTGGGGGGTGATTTCTCACTTTACCTCTCTCTATCTCTCTTCAGCAAGTGCATGTGCCCTATGGCCAAGGGAAAAAAAAAAAAAAAAAAGTCAGGACCAGAGTAAGAAGGGAAAACATCAGAATTTTGTAAAGGCAATGTACAGGGACTTCAAAATGTTCGTGGAACAAAATGGAATTGAGGTACAAGTTTACTCTGGAGCAAAGAGTCAGAAATTTATGCACAGTTCATTCCTAATACATATTTTCTGTGAGCTTTTTGAAGATTCCTCTTTAAAAACGTTGTAGCATATTCCCTGAGAGAAGGTAGACCTTCACGAAAGCATGGATCCCTCCAGTGGGTTCCCACTTGGACTTCAGGAAGTCAGCAGGGCCCTGATGGCAGGATGTGTGTGCCCATTCTGAGGCAGCTTCTCTGCCAGGGCAGCTTCTCTGCTCCCCTTCTTGCCTGTCGATGAAGCAGCTTGTTCCTCTGCCAGAGTCCTTCTGACTGTGTCCCCCCAGGAAGGTTTCCCCGTTTCGTAATCAGGCTGACATGAAAGCATCCGTAGAGGAGGGGACTTCAAAAATTCATAGAAAAGTGGAATTAAAGCCTGACTTTATATTGGTGTAATAACAAAAACTGAAATCCAGTCATAGTTTTTGCATAATGTGGATTTACTGTGAACTTGCATTGGTGTCACAAGTCTTTATAAAGGATAAGGCCTGGGGCCAGAAGGTAGTGTGGTAGTTGGGATGCTGGACTCCCACGTGATCTACTGTGGTTCAAATCCCGGACCTGGCATCTCTCTCTCTCTCTCTCTCTCTGTCTCTGGTGAGTACATGTACCCTACAGCAAAATTTAAAAAGTAGTATTATAAATAAATAATATATGTTAAAACTTTTTAAAAGAATGTGTAAGGCCCTCAGAGTGCCAGTGGTTACTTCCTGTCCCAAAAGGAAAATCATGCCAAGACTGGAGCAGCATGTAAGAATCTTTTCAAATGAGCAGAGCAAACTCGATGACCTTTCTCTGTCTTTGACATTTGTCACTTGGTATTTATAGTATTTCGGATGAAATGAGTAATCTGCTGGAAATGGGTATTTGCAGTGGAGCCAGAGGATCCCTGCTTGCTGTTTTATTCATGGACATCAGCGTGCCAGAAAATGAAACTGCACCGATTGAGTCGTGTGTGCATGTGACAAAGGCTCTAGAGAGAAGTTTTCCATGGCAAATTTTATTTTTAAAAAACGTTTCAGGCTATTTTAAGGGGCTACTAGCAGCCCAGGACTCCACTTAAGCACTGCATTGTGGGGCAGGGAGGAAATAGATCCTGATGGCTCTCTGGGGAATCCCGTACCCTAAAAGGAAGACACTCGCACAGAAGTTTTCCTTCTCAGGAAGGGGCTCATACTGAAGCAACATACAGACACATCCAAAGATATTCCAATCTTTTCTGGCTCCCTCCTAGAACGGTACTAAAAGTGCAATCTGTGAAGTACTCTAAGTTTCTTAGGTAACACCAGCTGCCTGCACTGTGGCCTTCCCCACCCACGAGCCCTGTGGCCCAGCCGTGGTTTTTTGCTGCCTCTGCTGTGGCCACCCCGTTAGGATAATCAGTGAGAGAGCTTTGGGAAAGGCTCAAGCTGTGGCTGATGGATGACCCACTCTGCAAATTTCCAGCAAGGTTGGAGCTACAGGAGAGTGATTCAAAAAGCCTTTGAAATAGCCAGGGCAGGAAGGAGTCGGTCTGTGCACATGAAACCCTGACATCAGCACCCTCTGCTTCATGGCCTAGAATTGGAAATGGCTCTCGAGGGCTTGCGGAATGAATGGAACTTCAAAACAAGGCACTCAGGTTCACAGTCAGAGCCTGAAAAGCGCGAGGGCAAAGCTTGACCCATTCACGATGTCTAACATCCTCAGCCCGAGTGAGGCAGGCTTTCTTCACTCTAGCCTGAGAGGGTTCTTAGTTAAAGACCTTATTATGTATTTTTCTTTGGTTTACAACATGTGATATAGTATTTATTTAAATTTTTGCTTAAATAGTAGAGGAGGATGTGGTCCATTCAGGTTTATTGACATTCTCTAAGCCACAGAAATAAGAGTCAGATGAATTCCTAAGCATCTTGGGGGGACCAGCAGTTAGCATAATGGCTATGTCGCAGGACTCCCTTGTAGTCCACCGCGGTTTGCGTCCCGGACCCGGTGGCTTAAACTCCCACCAAGAGCGTGCTGCGTGCCCAAGATCCCAAGAGGAGAAAGGAGAAGGGATTGCAGCGTGGCCATCCCCCCTAGGGGGTGATTTCTTGCTTTCTCTCTCTCTGTCTCTCTTGGGCTTTCTGGCAAGAGCATGTGCCCTATAGCAAAAACCTCTCCAAAAAAAAAAAAGCAAATGCAACTGGTTACTTTATGGGCCTAGGTAATGGGTTTAATTTTAATGCAAAGAGAAGAGGGGAGGGATTACCCATATCCCACTGGGAAGAGGTATTATTAGAAAGATGAAAACAGGACCAGTTGTGGCTGCTCCTTGTCCCCCACCCCCTTATTGGGGTCCAGGGCCACCTCAAGCAGACCTAAGCACCGTCTCAGGGTCTGTGCAGTTGGATCCCACCAGTGAAACAGTGTCACCCCTTTTCCAGACACCGCATCTGTTTGTGGTTTAATTCATTATTATTACTCCAAAACCATCGTCCTCATCGCTCCCAAATTATAATCATACAGAAGATAAAAGCTTTAATAACATTATGACTCCATTTTCCAGAAAGACCTAATTGCTGCTGTTTATTATCTTGTGGCAGGTACTTTGCCCGGCACTCCCAGGTGGGTTGCCGCCTCCCTTGTCCCCGCCTCCTCCCCTGTCTCCCCTGCGTGGCTCACACCATAGAAAGCTGGATTATTGAGGTGTCCCAGATGGACTCACAGTTCTGCATTGGGAACTCAAGCTGCTCGGTCCCTATCCCCTATCACTTCCGCTTTCTCCGCCCCCTCTTTCACATTCCATGTTCTCTCGTTTGAAGAAGAAAAAACCTTCAGCAGGGGAGCAGAGAGAATGTGATGGTGTTTATAATAAACAGAGGAGCCTACCTCGCCCAGGGGGCTGGGACTCACAGGGGCCTCCTTGGGTGCTTACTGCATGGTCTTGTTATAGTCTACCCAGCGGGAGCTAGGAGGACGTCCAGACATAGCCAAATTTATTAGAGTTTATTGATTAAGCCGGCGGCATACGGGTGTGTGTGGGGACTCATGTCTCTCCAAACCCTGCAGCCCCGAGTGAAAGGCGAGGGCTGCTTATAAAGGTAAAAGTCACACTCTTTTCGGGGTTGATATGGCAATCACAAGAACAAAGAGCAGTGGGCTCGAAAGGGTAGGAGGTAGGGCTTTATATCCGTCAAAGCAAGGAGTGAAAGCCTTCACAGAAGCAGAAAAAGCAGGTTAATCATCCCTAAGGGTATGTTCCATTCCTGCCTAAACACAACGGAATCTTAGTGGCCTTCATGGCTCAGGGCAAGGTCTGGTGACTGGATCTTATCTTAAGGCATCCACCTTAGCAAAAGAAAGCCACTTTTCAATCCTAGGGAAAGGGATATTCGAGGTCACAAAGGAGGCACTTCTCTGAGATGGAGCTTGCTCCTGCTTCATTCCCCGCTTCTCCAAGATGGAGTCATGCCTGTTCATCCTGTTTTGTCTGTGCTCCCAACACACAGGAGCCCGGGCCCATGATTTGCTGGTCTGCCTGAGGAGGAAGTGGCCCGAGGTATTACCAGCCTTGTTTATTTGTGCAGGATAGTACACATCTTGGGCCAAAATATCCCAGAGTATAAATTACAGATCAAGAAGCAGCTTTATTTTTTAAAGAATTATTTTATTGGGACCAGCAGTTAGCGTAATGGCTATGTCGCTGGACTCCCACGTAGTCTACCACGGTTCAAGTCCTGGACCCAGTGGCTTAAACTCACGCCGGGCACGTGTGCGTGTGTGCCCAAGATCCCGAGAGGAGAATGTAGGAGAAGGGATTGCGGCATGGCCATCCCCCCTGGGGGGTGATTTCTCACTTTCTATCTCTCTGTCTCTCTCGCAGCTGATCACCAGCATCCACCTCCAGTCTGAGCTTGATTCCTTCAAATGAGGCTGGTGACACAGTGACAAAATGCCAGGCTCTGACCTTCTTTTTCAGTTTTTCTGTTTTTCAATTTTGTCAGAGGGTGTGTGCGCTCACCAGAGAGAAGCAGACATAGAGGGAGGAGAAGCAAGACAGTTCCCTCGATGGGACATGATCACACTGCAAACCCTGGCCCCCTTCTCCTTCCATTTGGGGCTTTGGGCACACACATATGTGCCTGTGTGTTTTGCCAGCTGCTGAGTCTGGGACGCGAACTGTACAGTCAACCATGTAGGATCCAGCCTCAAGCTCTTAGAATA